CTGAGGCGGTGCTGCCTGCGCGGCCTCCGTGCTGGGGCAGAGCTGCTGGAACTGGGAAAAGATGAGTTTTATGGGCCTCACAGGTTCAATCAGCAGAGCCCTTTGCTTTGGGCACTTTCAGAGTGCTGTAAAAATGCCGCTGACGTGAGAAAGGAATGTAATGAAACAGAAAAGCGTGTTCTTTTGACGTGGCAGAAGGCCAGTAGCAAAGCAGCTCTGAAAACGCAGCACGAGCAGTTGATGTGAATGACAAGAAGGTGCAGCCGCAGGGAATTAGGAAACAATGCGCAAACAGTTGATTTAATTCAAGGATAAGAGATTTTGAGGTAATGGCTTGATCATGTACTGTATTTCCTGGCAAATAGGCTAAGCTCTGCTGGGGCTGAACTTGGACATTAAAACACAAGAAAACAGCTGACGATTCCCAGAATTATGTAAACAAAATGCTCCTTTTCAGCAGTGCTATTACTTACTTGGATTTTCGGCCACTTACTTGCAGTTCTGGCTTTTACAGAAGTCATGTTTGACTTCATTGAAAGGGATGTGTCTTCTACATCTCGGAACAGAAATGATGACGGTGACACTTCAGTTTGCACTGTCAGGCTTTTAATTAAAGGAGCGGAACTGATACAGGTCATTGCTATGGATGACTGAATTTGGTGCCTTCTCTAAAGGCACCAAAAATCTAATATATGTTTGTGAACCTGTTTTCTTCTTTCTCATAAATTCTGGGTTACCAAGTGGATGTCTTTCATTTACCATTTCTAATTTAAAAACTAAAATTGAATATTCTCACCTGCACGTATTCATAAGTGTTCCCCGTGCGTGCACTCTCTTCTTGATAACTTCCACTGCAAATCTACAGTAACTTACTAAAGAAGGGTTTTTTTTGGTTTCTTTTCTTTTTTCTTTTTTTTTTTTTTTTTTCCTTGTCACTGTGGAGGTAACAAATAGGTAGCTGAAAGACTTTGGAAAAGTATGCAAAACTTGCATTAGTGTGAAATGGTTAACTTCCATTCTAACTTTCCATTCAAATGTAATTTTTTTGCGTGTGTGTCTTCTGTTACTGTTGTGTCATCAAAGAAAGCCCTGGGAGGGAGAAGAAGCAGGGGGAGGAGAGGAGTGAATGGCAGGAGGATAACAGATTTTTCTTTTCAACTTCACTCTGCTCAAGTACTTTCATAACTGGAATTAGAATAAATCCTCAATGCTTAAAGTAGGGTAATATGTCTGTATAAACAGAACACCTCAAAATTTTGAAAACAAATGAAACTAAGAAATTATGTGATTAGGCAATTTCCCTAAAGCTTTATTGTGCACAGAAACAAATGCGATTGTCTTGATTAACTTTTTGTGTGTGACTGCAATAAGACAGTTTGATCAATGGACTTTCTGAGACTGATACATAACTTTAATATTGATTGAACCAGTACCGGAGGCAAGTCTCTTTTTTTTCTTTTTTTTTTTTTTTTCTGCGAGTGGAAGCATCTCCTGCTTTCTAGAGAGGTTAATTTGGTCAGATCTTTGAATGAGGTATTTGCTTCATGATATCAAAACTTACAAAATGTGTGCAACTTTTTTCCCCCTGATATATATGAAAATGGAAAGAGGTCCTACTGCATAAAATGAAGTTAGTAATCTTTTGCGGTTAAGTAGCAAAATAATAATTCATGGCAATTAAATAGGAAGACAGATGTGCCGTGTTTTGATGTTTCAGAATATAGACCTGTGGCCATAATTTCAAAGCTAAAAATAAGGTTCTGAACAACTTTGTGAATAACGGCAGATTCTGAAAACAAAATTTATTTTAAGTACTCAGCATCTCAGTTTCTTAAGGAAAAAAGACACATTGTCTCTTTCCTGCTACCACAGAAATTACAGGGGAAGGAACTGAAATAACTGCAGCGGAGCAAGGTAGCTGTGATTTAGGGAACAAAAACTATAGAAGCAGAGGAACCTGCACTTTCTTGTTTTGTGTTTTATGGAGCAACTTACTTCCGCTGGAGCTTTTTGCCGATGTCTTTGTGGATTCTAGAGGTTGGTTGTAAAATAGCACATGAATTTAAAGTGATGACTACAAATCACTCTGAAGCCAGGCTTTGCGTAGCAGTCATGCAGGGTACTGCACTGTTCTAGCTGAAATCACTTTTAAAGTACATGCACCAATTCTCTTTAGAGTGTTTGTTCATATAATGGTTTAAAAATGCTGGCTTACATGCCTGGGCAGGGATGGGGGGGCTATCTGTGCTTGAAAACTTTAGGGTTCTGTGCTATAAAACAAATGCAAGATTTTATGAATTGTATCTACATTTTTTGACTACGGAAGTAGAGACTCCTTAAGTATTAGTCCACTCTTACAGAAGGGTAGCAAAAGCAAGCATGCAGGAATGATGGAGTCCCAGTGGGGACTTAAGGAGACTCAAGTGAGTTTAAACTTGGAAGTGATGTTTCTGATCTGCTAGAAGGAAAGTTAATGGCTTAGGAGAACCTGTTGCTCATGATGCCATTGTATTTTCAGTATTGTGGGATTTTCAGCTTCTCCACTCCCTTCAAGCTTTTGAGACTTTATTTTCCCTCCTGATCGTGGGTGAAAGTATTTTCAAAGCATGTCTGTAGCTGTTCAGGCTACAGAAAATTCACACATAGAGAAAATTCAGAAGACCTGAGAAAACATCCTGTTTACTTGAAGAAACTATAATGAGGGGGTTTTTTTTAGAATTTTCTTAAAAACAATCACTTTTTTTTCCACAGTTGTTTCTCAGTAATGTATTCTGCAACTTAACTTGTAAAAATGTCTTTTTGTGTTGAAATGACAAAAACAATATGCAGCTTGTTAATTGGCAGATTTAAGGCTTCAGTGCTAGATAGTTTGAGGGTGCTGATATACTTTATGTTGCACTTATTAGCTGTGTGTGCTGTGCATTGTTAATTAATCCATTTTAGCTTGATAGCAAAATATGTTTTCTTTCATAGAGTGAAGATACGCAGCAACAAATTATCAGAGAAACTTTCCATTTAGTATCAAAACGTGATGAAAATGTCTGTAATTTCCTAGAAGGAGGATTGTAAGTATCAAGTTTGAAATAAATGCCTGATAATTATTGGCTAGCAAATATTATTACTGTTGATTGTAATATAACTGGTTTAATGTAAATGCCATGTCACTTCAGATATTTCAATACACAACAAGTACTATAATTTTGCACCAGGTATACGTATTCTTTACTAACTGAAGCATATATATATGTATCAAAATGAGTTAAGCAATAAAACTAATTTTTTCTAGTACTGTAACTGACACAGTGTCATATCTAGTGCTGTAATTTTTTCAGACACAAGATGGGGAAGAAACAGGCAAATGATACCTAACTAGTTTCCCTATGATTAAACTAAAGATTTCTGGTCTCGTTTGAAGAGGCATTGACATTTTCCATACCCACTGAGAAAATGGAAATATTTTGTAGCTGATACTTTGGCCTGAACTCCTAAAATTGGAGTGGACAGCCTCTGATAGTAGGATTCCTCAGCCTTTTTATCAGGGTTCAGGCTTGCTATATAAATGAGGAAGAAAAAAAATAAATTTTAAATGTGCTAATTAACGTAGTTTCAACCAAGATTTTGTATTAATATAGGTAGAGCAAGATAGGAGGAAAGGCAGACTTGCGTCTTTTGTCTCTGGAAAACATGCACAGAATATTCTTTTTTTAATTATCTCTGCTGTTTTTGTTTTTTTTTTTAAAGTGGTCTTGCTTTAGTTGAAAAGAAGAAATTCTGAAAAGGAAAAGTGTTTTGAGATATTAGTCACGAAGAGTAAATAGTTATACAAAGCCACCTTCTAGGAAAAGGGGTCATAATTGATGGAGTAAGCTCATGATCTCCAGTCTAAACATAGAGATTGTGATAGCCTGTTAAATATTGTAATTGTGGACATTTCTGATTACTGAAATTAATAGTTAATGCCTAAATGCAGAGTCGTTAAATGCTTAGTTGTACCATGTCACCTATGATGTCTTTTTCCTGGTCAAGATGATTCCTGATTTTTTTTTATTTTAATATTTTTTAAACCAAAATTATTTTTTTTTCCAACTACTCAGCTGGTGATTCTATTGTTAGGTTCTTGGAGATTATTTCAAGCTGAAAACATGCTGGCTTGAATTCTGTAAGTGAAAGACAGAAGCCATTTGGAGCCTTTTAAAAAAAATTACAGCTCTGCAGCAAAAGGAAACTAAGACAGAGGACGCAAATCTGGCTTTCCTCCTACTGCTCAAGTCTGGAGTTACCATTTCAATATATTTTTTCAGGATTTTTTTTCTTTTCAGGACAGGGATCTTTATAATTTTCAATTTACCCAAAGGCCTCAATAGTTTATATATACTAACTCTGTATACTGAAGTATTTGAAAGAATTGGGTAAATAAAGCACAAAAGAGAAAACTTTAATTGCCATTTCTTTCCTCTTTCACATCTGTTTATAATATTTTTGTTTGATACTTCTTAAAAGTAGTTCCTTCTCCCCCAACCCAAGCATTAATGCAAACCAATGTGCTTAAGCAAAATTGACTTAAAAGATTTCTTCTTCTTTTTATATATTTATGTATTCCCTCCCTGTAATAAAGGCAGAAACTAAAGGGATGAGCTATGACACACCAAAAGGTGATTCAGTTCTGGTACAGAATTAAGGGAGAGTTACGATGTTCGTAGCCATGTAGGTTCAGGCTACAAAATACTTTCATTTCTATTTAAGTGGACCTCCTACTGCAAATGTCAGTGATCTGAAGAACACCTCTTCTTATGATTTATGTGTCTTCTTTTGGAAGGCTATACCAGAGGAGTGGAAGGAAATACCTGTTTAGACCTCTTCTTGTTCAGTAACTTCATGATGAGCGAGTCCATAAAAATTCAGTTGCTCTTGTGGCTGTAACATTGCGTCAGAAACTATTGGTTGTAATATAGTCTTATTTCTCAAGGTATCAAACATTTTGTAGCACAAGAGTGTTACATGTTCTTGGTTATTAAGCAGACCATAAACCTGATTTAGGGCTTTTTTCATAATCCAAATGCCAGTCTGCATTACACTTTTCTTTTTCTGTTGATGGTCCTCTGAGAAGGGCAAGGAAGGATTGTTAGGCATACTCTCTGTTAATCTGTAAAGCAGATTAATCCCTGTACAGTGCCCACTAGCGTGTAATGGGAGTGCATTTAATACCCATTTTTTGATGAAACTGCATGATCTGTTTGAATTGATTGTAGTAAAAAGGTGCATATGTTGATGTAATTATTATCCACGTGGATAACAATAACTGCTTGTGTGCTAAATGTAACTTGGGCTGTCTTGGTACTTCGTATTCTTTCACTGTAATTATATCACAAAATAGAAGTTGTGATAGAGTTGGATTTGAGAAGGCTCCAGCCAGCCATTAACAGTAGGCCTCCTATTAACTGAAATAACTGTGAGGATTTGCCCAGCTTATCCCAAGATGCTAACTAAGCTTTCCTGTTTTCTTTCCTCCTTAGATTAATAGGTGGATCCGATAACAAATTAATTTACCGTCACTATGCCACCTTGTATTTTGTCTTCTGTGTGGATTCTTCAGAAAGTGAGCTTGGCATTCTAGACCTCATACAAGTAAGTTTTGGTTTTGATGGGTTTTTTTTTTGCTTCTTTTTATTTTCTAATAACTGGAATTCTACTTCTAAGTAGTTTAGAACTTCAGTATTTAGCTGTGTCTTTTTCTGTAATGTTTGGAAGTGAAGGTGGCTTTCATACTGTGAACACACCCTAAGTGCTGAGTATTAGATTGTTTGCAGTTTTCTGGACTGTCTTTGAAAAAGTTGGTGAGAAAGTAAGGAAGCAGTTTGTTTGGAACCTACTGAACAATCAGCAGCTATTTTTTGCTGCAGCTTTTCAAGGCCTTGTTTTGGCTGCAGGTAAAAATGGTGCAGTTGAAACATTCACTAGGCAAGTTTAGGTTACGAGAACCTTGATACATAAAGGTCTGTGTGTGTGTGTATATACACATACATATGTATTCACTACAAATATGTAATGGATTAACACATCCAAAACCTCTTTGGATGAAACTTTCCTTGTGGCTTATGAACTTTGGTCATACACCTTAGAAAATGACTGCAAATGCTGCCCTAGGCATGTGTTCTGCACCAGAGGGCGGCAGGTAGGGAGAAGTGAGGAGAATGAGATCCATAAAGAACCTGTAGAGGTTTTCTATAAAAAAGGCTCGACAACAAAATGGCTTCATAAGATAACTGTTTAATAGAACAGACTAACAGGAGGAATGTGGATAGTAAATCTTACAGCCCTTCAGATGCTGGGCATCCCGTGTTCATGCAGCATCCAATGGAGACCAGGTAGATTTTCTCACGGTGCACTGTGCAGAACAGATCCTGTCCATGGAGAGCAGCTCTCCCTTTTTGGGACCTTTGAGCTATTACATGATTTCATCACAAGAAGACAATTCTGTTCCTAATGGATGTTCTCATGAGAACCTCTTGCTGCACTTTGAGGTACAGGAAAGGCCATGCATGTGGCGGAATCACTGGTACCAAGTGGGAGCTGCCTGCAGGCTCCTCTGTTACTGCAAGCTGGCTGCGTTTATCCCACAGCCAAGGAATTTCTGCAGGTCTGTGCCTACTCAGGTTAAGTGTTGTGTCCATCGTGAACTCCTAAACATGCATCTGTCTCTTGGTCAGGATCAATGTGCTCCACTCTTTGATCCACCTACAGTTTACCTTTCCCAAAGACATTGTAAGTTATAGGTTACATTAATAAGATACTGGTCTATTGAGCCCAGCAGAGCAGACGTGGCCTGTTCAAGATCACTAACTCCTCAAATACAACGTCTTGGCAAGGCTCCCAATACAGCATGTATGATTTAAACTGCTAAGTATGTCTGTGTCAGCTCACCATCAGAAATCATATCTGGTAATACAAACACTCTTGTGTCAAGAGAACTCTGACTACACCAGTGATTTTTCAACTTAAAATTTGCATATAAACAATTTCACTGATGATTGTTACTGTAGGCAGATGTAGCAAAAACCAGTTTCATACCATGTATGTCATTACATGAAATAGGTCTTGGTTATATATGTGTGTGTGATTCACTTACTGTTAAGCCTTTCAAAAGCTTGCATATCAAGAGAGTCAATTTATTATGTAAGTAAAATCTGTGGTATCCTGAGACATGGGCCTGTATCTATTGATTATTTCACTGCAGAAAGCACTGTGAGCCTTAAAGGCCTCTCAATTCCATACAGACCTTTCTTGGTGCTGAATAGCTTCTTGTAGTCACCTGTTAGTGTTCAGAACAGCTCTTCAGTGTTTAGTGTTCTTCTGGACAGTAGATCCAAATTGTCTTTCCAACTGGATGTGTGGGTAGCAAGGAAGGAAACTTTTTCTAGATTCTTACATCATCTTTGGTCATAGAAATGTTCTGCAATATCTCAGTGGCGCATGTTACTGAGTGAGGTATACAATGACCTTACCTGTTCTTAGCAGTTTGCTGTACAGAGTTGCTTAGTTGCTTGTTGCATAGTGTGTCTTCTTACTTGGAAGTCCTAAAATATTGATGAATTGAGAAAAGAAGCACGTTAATATTTCATGTGTCTTAGGGATGCTTTTCAGATAAAGTGGATTTCATAAATATCTTGTGCTTAATCAGATAATAAGGATAGGAAAGACTACCTAGATCAATGAGTCTGACCTGTTATATTTTGCAGGGCCGCTATGCAAGTTCAGCTAAGATTTTATTCATTATGGTATGTTAGAAATTTCACATTAGTAGCTTCCAGTTACTTCCAGTTACACAGGGTAACCTAAATTTTACTTTAAGGTGTTGAAGCAAATTGCTTGAGCTTACTACTACCTGTATGTCTGTAGCCCTCAAACTCTCTGAATTAGGGAGGTCTTAAACTTTTCTCTAAACCGTGTTGCTTCTTGTGCCAGAAGCACTTTGATGGACTTCAATCTCTTAGACTTTATATTTCACATCTTTTCCATTACGCTCTGGTGTTTATTTACATGCCAGTATAACTACTTGAAGGAAGCAGAAACAATAGAAATGCTATTTCTACTTATAGAAATACTTTTACTTTTTTCTGACCTGTGTGATTTTTGTTTATAAATACAACCTCACCACAGTACCTGCAGCTGTTCAGTATCCCAGTTTCTGTAGAGCATTGTAATTCAACCATTTGATTATAGTAGAAAGTATACAGAGATTAATTAAGTATACAGAGATTAATTAAGCATTTTTAATTTCCAGTCTGACTCACAAGAAGGATCCGTTTAATCCTCTTAGCAATAGCAATCAAAATTAAATGTATCTTATGCTGGAAAAGAGCCCTTAGATAGTTTATTATGACATCTCAACCCCATGTGCAATGCAGACTGGCGGTATATACACATCTACTCAAGCAAATAAGTTTTGTCTGGTTTTTGTTGAGAAGTGATGAACCGTTTTCATACATCTTTGTTTACTATAGTTTAGAGACAACGCAGGTAAGAGTAAGCCATCTGGAGTTTGTTATGAATCACACATATACTGAATTATTTAAATAAGTAGTTATGTCGAGGGTGAGTTTATGATCTCATGAAAGTAAACTGGTGAAATGAACCTAGAACTCAGTCTAGCACTTAAGGGTTTCCTGTCTTGTAAACTGAATAAATCTATAGTAAATTAGATTATGTATGGCAGTCTGCAGTTCTTTTCAGCACCAAGTTTTTGTTGTAATACTTAAGATATTTCTGTAAAGGCCGCTTTTATCACCATTACGTCAGAGCTGTTTCACAGGTAAGTCTCTTTGGCTCAGGCTTGATGAATGCACTGTATGTGTTACAAATTGTACATTCTGCCTCAGATTTTATACGGTGTTCAAACTAGATGTGTTTAAACATCTCAGGCAAATTCATACTGTTAATTTTTGTCCATTTTCTTTCTTCTTTTTTTTTTAATACAAACACAAGATTCTGTTCATTGGTTTTGATTAATTGGATGGGAGACAGGTCAGCATCTGTGCTATGCTTGGTAGGTTTTGCAGTCTTTTGGATTCAGTGTGAGTTATGTCATGAGTTGTAGCTATTTCGGACTCTTCTTGTTAGCCTGTGAAGTGTAAGGTTATAGCATGTGGAAATAGAGCACATAAGAAAATATAACTAGCTGTAGGCTGCCTTGAGGGGGAAAAAAATGAGAGGCGTTTACAATAGTACCTAAGTATCTTGTGGACCTAAAAGCCTGTGTCAGCTCTAAGCGTTTTTGAGTATTTTACCACTTTGCTGTACTTCCAAGACATGTTGCCTCAGTAAGCAGCTAAATCTGTGAGATCAGTCTTCCATATAGTCTTGCAAGATAATGTCGTTCAGTGAGATACATATGGGAAGTGCAGCGCAGTTTGTGAAAGATGTTTCTCAACTCTTAAAGATAAAACATCCTGACCGTAGATGCTGTTATGCTAATTAAATAAAAAAGGGAGAGACATATGACTGGGATATGTATTTTAGCAGAAAAGTCACTAACTCATTCTTAGTTAACTCTTACCGGTTTTAGAGTTGAGTTGAAAGTAAAGGGCGGGAATTAAGAAAAAAAAGAACATTTTGACCTAAAAAGCCTTATTGGCAATGCATTAAGTCTGCTGGTAGGTCTGCTTGAAGGACCTAACACACTTCTGTCCTGGCTAATAAGGACTTGTACAGTCTTGTCCTTACACTGTAAGCTTGTCATTCTCTATATACTCTATGAGCCGTTTTAAAAAAGATCATTGAAAGAAAAGTGGGATGTCAGTGTAAGTGTGGGAAAACACAGCGGCTGCTCTAAGGATTTCCCAATTAGAAAGGCTGTGGAAACACTGTAGTGGATTTCATATGCTTGCAATGATATGTGAAAAATGACTTATTAAATATCACTCTTAAAGCAGAAGAGAAACCAGTCTTGTCCATGGAGAACTGGCTATATATGATCAGGCTGTTACGCTCCAAGTTAGTTGGGAGTCTCAAGTAGCATTTGAAGAGTCAAAAGCAGTGAAGGGGAGGACTCTTCATGGGCAGATTGAATTAATTGTGTATTAAGGTTTAACATCGATGTTTAGCCTAGGAAGAAGGATGGGATATTCTTGATATGAGTTACTCCTGTTATTTTTACTTCATTTTTTTTGTACCTGGTTTAGTTAGTATTTGACATTATCTAGCATCAGATGTGTTTAATTGATTAGGTGTTCTGATTTTTCTGCTAGCCTTGTTATTTTCCCAATATTAATGTATGCTTTATTCCTTTGTCTTACTTGACTAATTAAAACATGAGGTATGTTTTGACATATTGCTGAGTATAGGGAGTTCCAGGCTTATGTGTATCCCATAACAATTTGGTATTTTGATTCGTATACTTTACTCTCCAGGTGTGTATCTGGATTTATTAAAGCATATTCACTGCAAAAGAAAGGTGTGGGTTTTTTCCTTTTTTTTTTCTTTTTTTTCTGATTACTTGCATGGAGATGTGCATGAGTTTTTCTTTGAACTGTAAAAGATTACAGTGATTTCAAAAATGAAGCACAAGGGGGAGCTAGTAATTCATTGTGCATGCATCCTTTTCCTGCTATTTGACTCATTTATTTTTCTTTTCCAATAACATCACAAGGTGGATTTGAACTGATGTGTGGTATATATGCATGTCCCCCAAAACAATCGGTGTGTTTTCTCTTCTGGTTGTTTTGATCTACAAGTCTGCAGCATCTGAAGTAATTACCAAAGTACTTAAATTCTAGCACTGCTTGCTGTACTGTGCAATTCATTTGACTCTCAACTAAAACTAGGATGAAAGTGGCTCTAATTTTATTTACCATATTGATTATTTGAAGGTATCTTAAAATAGGTTAAAGCATGTTAGTGTAAAAAATCTAGTTTACCTTGTAGAGTAATGCTTTTAAAGACCTGTTATTCATAACAGTTGTGTACCTTGTCAGTGCTGGCGTTAGTCTGAGTGAACTCTCCATTGTACGTGGAAGATTGAGGGAATTTCCAAAGTTTCCATCAGAAATCCTTAGTTGGTAAAAAATCTTGCTGAAGAATACTTAGTGCCAGCTGATTTCCCTTAGACTAAAAAATGTTTGGTGTGCATTACTGGTCATGCATTGCAAGCAGAGATCTCTGAGTTCGTTCAGTGTGTGGTGTTGTCCCTATGTAATCAGTAAAGGTTTAAAAGTAACTATTGTAACTCTGAATCAAGTATTGTTATAGGAGAAGCCCTAGTTACTGGAAGAATGTCACAAAAAGAAAACTTCTGTGTTGTTGATGTGTGGTTATATATACTTCTTGTAAATATATAAATCTGGGGAATCCTTTTTTGAGGATATTCGAGTTGCTTTTGTTTTTAATGTGTTCCTTTGTTTCCCAAGGAAATAGATGGATGTCAAAGTCAGAATATGTCAATTTGTATGCAAACTTGGTGATATATATGATGAATATTTTCTTTTCTTTAAAAAACAGTGTCAAACTATTAGGTCTTTTAACTAAAAAAACCTATTAGCTCTTGTAACTAAAGTCTCTGGGTAAAGGTTACGTTTACACTCTATTTCCAATCTTCTTCCTGCAGCCAGTATCAAACAGCACTGTCCTTGTAACCACATTTGCCTAAGGTACAAGGAAAGTAAGAGAACATGTCTGGTGGTTTGTCTTGCTGCCCATAGTTGTGAACTGTGTAGTTTTTTCTGCTTAACATGAAAGTTTTTTTGTTTTCTTGCATCCTTTCTTTATAGAAGACTCTTATTATCACAACAAATTAACAACTACTTGAAGAAAAAAAAATCTGCTTTGCTTAGCTTCAGTATAATTTAACAGAAGCGTATTAATTTACTTAGTTAACTGCTGTCAGTGAACCAGTGTCTTGAGTCTGCCTGTGAAAATGCTTTGTTCCTAGTTATGAGTTGGTATTAAAGAAAAATTTGTGTTCTAAATGCATCAGTTAGATGTAGTTTGACTTTAAAATGAAGCTTGATAGTAGCAGTAATAGCAATAGCAACAGCAGCGTGTGATCCTCTTATCTTTTCTAGTGTAAGCAGGATCTGGGGTCAGGGATTCAGATGTAAAAGTAATTTTTCTTGATATGCAAGGTAGACAGCTGAAAATGGCTGTTGTCAAGTATACCTGTTTCATTGGGTCCTGCAGGCCTTTTATCCACTTTATTTTTGTCAGCAGAAGATGGCTTCTCATTCCTATTTCTCTGGGCCTAGGCAGTTTGAAATCTGGTTCCTCTGAAAGACTGAGATGGAATTAATAAACCACGTTGAAATGAGAGAGAATAAAAACCAGGTGTTGAACTTGTTCTGTATTGCTGATTTAGGGCTTGATTTTAGAATTGAAAAAAAAATAATTACGTACAGTGACAAATTAATAAACAATACTAAATGCATATTGTGACAAAATGGCCTTGAAACATATAAAACAGAGATTAAAATTTCCCACCAGTTGCAGCTTATTTACTAGTCATTAATAAATGATCTGTAGATTCTTACAGAAATTCTTTTAAATTTTGAGCACCCTAAGTTCTCAAACACAAGCATGTGTTTAACTTAAAGGTCTTGACACATCTCATGCAAGTAGGAGTTACTCCTTACATAAAGGGAACTGTGCTTATGCTTCTCTGAGACTGGAGTCTTTGCCAGCGCTCACCACAAGCACATGGTGGTTGGCATTCAGGAGCTTTGGGAGTGCAAGTACAGTTGTCTTTTCATTATCTGGCCTAATTGGGGGCTGGGATGGTCTTGGCGTACCAAAACTGGCTAACGTGAGTACCAAGGAATCTGTTACAGAAGTACCCAGAGCAGAGTAACGTACAGTCCATATCCATCAGAGATCGTCAGTGTCTGGACTTCAGCAGCTTCTTGGATTTTTCTGCTTTGTGCACTGACATTCTACATTCAGGGAGGGGTTATGTGCCTGGGTGCAAACTGCTGGAATTTTCTAAATTTGTGTGGTGGTATGCCTGATAAGATCAGCTGGTGTGATATTAAGACAGCTACCTTTTTCCTTGGTCCATCCTGAATTCAGCAGGTCTAAACCAGGTGAAAGCTGCTGTGCTGTTGCTGGAAGCCATAATGCTGACAAACTTGCATGATGCTGGCAGTTTGCATTGCACATGTGTGACAAAGTTAACAGTAGTCTGGTTAACCAGGAGATGCCTGCAGTGTAGTAATTGTTAATAGTAATGAAAAAAAATAGCTGATTTTTGCTTGATAATTGGGTTCTAATGAAATGGGAAGGAACACTCTGAATCACAGCTGGGAAAATTGTAATATAGATACTACTGTTTTTTCAAGGTGCAACTGTTGTTCAAAACTGTGTGACTTTCACCGGAGTTAAAGCATAAACTGACTTGTGCATACAGTTTTGCCCTCTACAGATAACATACTGATGACATAATAATGTTAACCGCATAATTTCTATAGATGCTTTTAGTGCCTTAAAATCTGCCCAGTGTTTATTTTCTGTATTTGCTTTTGTTAAACCTCACACCTAATGGAACTACTGAGTTTCTGTTAAAGCTTGACCTCTGGCTTTTTTTTTTTTTTCCTCTTTGCAGGTATTTGTGGAAACATTAGACAAATGTTTTGAAAATGTCTGTGAACTGGATTTAATTTTCCACGTAGACAAGGTACTGTGATGAGCTCCTGTAATATTTCTTGTCATGTAAAATGTTTGGTTCAACTAATAACTTGGATTCTACTTCCATTGCAGTGAAATCTAGACAGTTTCTATCAACATACTATTTTTAAGACTTGAAAGCTATGGTGGAACATGTCCTTCTGAGGAAAAATAAAACAATGTGGGAGATTTGCATAGTGGTGTTGCACATAAAATTGTCAAATTGGAGACATCTGAATATTCTCAGAGTAGGACTTAGTTTCAAGAAATAATTTGTTCTGTTTTGTTTATGGTTAGGTGTTATATTACTTAACTGAAATTGTTACAGGGTGTTCCTATTAAGGCTGGTAGTTGCCTTTCAAATGCTATGATTATGTAATATAAATGCCATGTGGATCTTTCTTCTAAATCTTAAACAGACATGTCTTTTTTTCAAACATTTAGAAACTATCTTGTTTGAATATTCCCAGCTATCTAGTTTTGAGAAATCCTGTTGCTATAGTAATCTTTCATTTAAAAGGACCTTAGCACCTCTTGGTGTAATACCTAAAATGCTGAGAGTTGAATATATGGCATTTATTCCTTCAGTTGCATTTTATACCTACTATTGGTGTTCTGTGCCGTCACCTTTCTCCATCTGTGAACATCTTTTTGCATCAACAGCGAAAGATGCAAAAGGAAAATAAGACAAAAATCATTAGAAGTGGACTAAAACCAGTAACAAGTAAAGCATCTGAAATAACTATTTGGAACTGACTCGTTTTGTTTGAAAATCGGGAAGTTCTTTTGGAAGAAACACTTGTACCTTGACCGGACAGTGAAATGCAAATGACCTTGAGTAGGTGTTTGAACTGATAACCGTACTCATGACAAGTCATTAAGGATTTCTAGCCTGGCTGGAACATGTTGGCTGTTTCCAAAATGGCAGATGGAAGTACTAAAGAATTTATGAGTGGCTTATATATTGGCTTCTGAGCTTAAAGAACCCAAATACTGTGATTGTTTTGTGGCAAGGAGTTTGACCTTTATCTTTAGCTGCAGAATACTTTGGCTGCTATGCAGTCCAAGCTGTTGCTGTGTAGCATGTTTCATTCAGTAGCATGCCCTAACATAAGTAGTCTTTTACACTTTATAGGAGAAACATCTGTCTAATAAAATGCAGAGAACGTAGGCGGTTCAAAATGTTAAATTTCCTGAAGAATACTTTACTTTGTATTGGATATGAGATGGTATTTTCTTCTTGAAATCTGTTTGTTAAAGGGAAGCTAATTAGTGTTTCATTTGGTTTACTAAAAAACTGCATGAGAATCCCATTAAATGCTTAGGCTAGAATTTTCAGACTCTGAGGAAGATGTGAACCCTACATACTAATCAGATATTTTAGCAAAAGTAACCCATTTCCAAAATAAAAGATATGTGAAACCCCAAGTTAAAGCATTTTTGAACATGTCATTAACGAGTGCAGTGGTTTTTGACTTGAGCATAAGTCAACAAAAGAATACAATACAGGAAGCTGAACTTCTGCAGTAATGCAAGGCTACTACCAGCAATATTGTAACATTAGTTGTGCAGTTGTGGCTAATCTGATGTCACCTCCATTCTTTTCTTTCTTTTTCCCTCCAGTGTAATTGGTTTGTAAGACTTTATACAGCAACATAGGATCAAAATACTTGATTTGGTACAGTTTAAGTTCATTAGTATTCTTGTAGTTCTCTAAGAAAAAAAAACCAACAGAAAGATATATCTGTGAGAATGAAATTACAGCATTAAATTAACTTTAAACTGCTCATAAAAGTCGCCTTGTGAAGAAGCAAAATGCATTGAGTCTTCTGAGTTAAAGCACATTAAATTTCTCTTGTCAGATATTTGTGGCCTGGATTGTTAATAATTTCAAGTGTGCAATAGGGAAAACCCACAACTGCTGCTGGATGTTTAGTCTAGACAGAGTCTTAGTTATAGTGGATACTTACATGTGGGAGCTGTTTGGGTTGAAACATTTTATTTGTATTTTAAGTGGTCTGATGTTGAGAAAAGTAAGGACTGTCTAATTGATTTGGATGACAGTTGGTCTGTGTCTTCAGTTCTTGATGAAGTTGTGGAAGGTGGCTTCCTTCCAGTCCTCTTGCTAGAACTGCCTAAAAAACAAGAAATACCTTTCTTGTAAAAAATTATGTAGCATGTAAAAGAGTTAAACTATCTAATCTCAACAGCTGTTGCCTCCTTAAGAGCATTTTATGTGGCATTTCTATAAGGAAACATTTACCTTCATCAGGCAGACATCATTATACAGGACCCAGTGATGACTTACAGTAACCTGGAGCCAAGAGAGATGGCTTATGCAAGAAGCATATTGGTATAGTACTAGAAATTAATTTCAAGAATGGAATATAGGTGGGAATGAGTGTTTCTTATGTGCTGTAGCAGAAATAGGACTTGGGGTGTTGGGGAGTGTAGTTTGTACAGGAGAGAATTGGGCTTCTCTTTTACACATCAGCTGTATTACAAACAAACTTCTATAGTTGGAGCAGAATTTTTTCAGAGGAGGAGGTTTATTTCAGTCCCATACTGATTCCTGCACTGAGTCCAGGAGTGTAATGCTTTCTGATGGAAAAGACGTCACAGAAAGCTATCATAAGCATCTTTTACAACTAAAACACCAGAACACATTCAGTTAGGGAGGTCAGGAAATACTCTTATTTTTCCACAAGTTTTTGGCATCTACTGAAATATCCCTGGGAGTATCATGATCTCTTCCAAGAGTTTATTATCTGACCAGAACAGTGAACCCTCCAGAATCAGATTGCAGCTTGAAGACTTCAAGAAAATGTTTGCCAAATTTTCCTGGGAGAGTTTTTTCTTGATGCATTCCTTCTCCACATTTGTTAAAGCATGCATTCATGCTTCTAGACGGTACATGGAACAGAAGTAGGAAGCACTCTTGATTTTTCTAAAAACACCTCAAGATTACTATTACAAAATGATGATTTCAGATTTTGAAAAGTCGATGCTCTCAACAGTCTGATCTCTTTTAGAATATAGATGTAAGAGGTGTATTCCATATGCCTTCAGTCTCACTTAAACACTAGGTTGAATACACTCCTGAAGTGTATTTTGAACTTCATTGCCACAATGCTTTTTTAAACCAGAGAATTTTTTATATCTTCAGGAAAGTAATTAGTGAAATTCTTAATTAGAAACTAAGTTGAGAAAATAATGTGTATTTGTTAATTGAATACATATTTGCAATGAAGAAGGAGGGAAAAGTAGTTAATGTTAAAAATTTATGTCTTGCTACTGCTCACATCTGGGCAAACTTTTGCTAGTACTGATTTATTATATTTAAGAGAAAGGAGTAAATGGATTATAATATTTACATAATATTATTGGTCATAGTCATGATTTCCTTTCATTACTGATTAACAAGTAGATTAACTGTACTCTGTTATTTAGAAAATCATCGCTTTAGAAGAAAAATGGGGCAAGACAAAAAAAATGGTTAAGCTACTGTGTCATCCATGCTTTGTAAACATTTTTAAAAACTGTGTGTTAGACTTGCATATTGCGTACTAAAAGTAGGAAAAAAGTACAGATAAAGGTAAGAAGCATGATCCAAGGTACAGAACAGCTTGCATGGAAGAAGTTGTTAAATATTCAAGATACTGGAGGCAAAGAAGTAAAAAGTTGTTGAAGGGTCTAAAGAAAATGAACAACTGTGTTTCTCAGAAATAAAGAACACTGGGATATTGGATAAAATTTCAGGAAATAAGTTTGAAACATAGAAAATGTGGTTTTCATGACTGATAATTAAATTGTGGAATGCCATTGTCCCATTTTATTATAGATACCAAGAATATTATAAATAAGTTCAGAAGTGATCAGACATATTAACCAAAAGAAAATCTGACAGGGGATATAAAATACAATAATATAGCAAGAAACAGCAAACAATCTTTGTTTCAGGAATCCTTAAGTTGGAGATATTTGGAAGTAGAGAATTGATGTCAGGCTAAATAGTACTCTTAAGATTTCTTGGATCATTTTTTTGTGTCAACTGGTGAATTTTTGAAGCCAGATAATGAACTAGGTGGATTTTGCCTCTGACTTAGTAAAGTTTTTTAAGCATGTTTGAGCATAAGTAGAACTTCTAACTTCTGTGTTTTTTAAAGCAACTTGCATGATGGAAAGGTAAATGTTATGATGTACATCTTCTGTAACATGAAACACTGAACAAGAAAAACCAAAACAACTGCTCAGCAGTAATTCACGGTGCTTTAATTTTGTATTGTATACTTACTAGAGGACTTTCTGAGAGCAAAATGGTAATAAAGCAATCCTTTAAAACACCAACAGCTAGAGTAATGAAATAGTGTCTTTATGACCAAAAATATTAAAGGAGGTATTTTTTCTTTAATGTTTTGATGTGGAATACTAATACTCTGTGGACTAGTGTGCTTTAGAAAAAAAAAATACATCCCTGCTGTTCCTTCTGTCTGTAAAGCTTATTGTAATATTTGTAAATCTGCATATAGTGTCTCAATTATGAGCAATTTTTTTTGTTTGCAAGAAGCTGTATTCAGAATTGTATTCATTCTCCTTCTTCACTGCATCCATCATAATAAGGATAATGGCAGTAACTGCCAAAGACTGTATATTAATACCGATTATACAAGTATACTGCTGTTCTGTACTGTTAGGGCATCAGTGCTAAAGCTGGCTGGAAATCTGAAGTTTGCCTTCTGCCCCTTTTTTAGCTGCAGACAGTGCTCCCATGACAATTAGTTCTTAATATGTAGCTTGCTGGCATGTTGTGGACTTCTTTCAGAATTTACGCCAGGGGGAATTAATGCCTTGGTGAGATGGCATTCTTTGAACCTGTAAATCAAATTCTTTTTCTCAGTGTCATGCAGTGGTTGCCTTCTTTCAATGTTGCGGTTGGGCTACAACCTTACTTTTATAATCAGTGGTCTATATGATCAGGAAGCCTTTTTTTTTTTTCTTTTTAATTTATAAAATAGTAAAACAATTCAGCTTCTTTGTTTTTAGAATCACAGAATAATTTACACTGGAAGGGACCTCTGGAGGCCATGCAATCTAGTTTTTGTGCTCAAGCTTGGCCACTTCTATGTCTATCTTCATATTACACCAAATACATCAGATAGGTCATATCATAGAGTTGTTCCCTGAACTGTCATACATAATGTGCAGTTATTGTAGAGACGTTGCACCACTACTGTTTCAAGGTGACGTTACCAACAGGGCCTCTTACTGCCATCTATTAAGCAATATCTCTGCATCTTCTACCAGGCTGGAAAAAAAACCACACCAAAACCAAAGAAACAAACAAGCCCCCCCCCACCCCGCCCCCAACCCAGTCCACAGGCATTTGTTCATGCTTTCAGTATTTTAAAACCATATGCAAAGATGCTACTGCATGTGCTGTGAAGTCGTAGTTGAAGTCCTGTGTCATTAAGTAGTATGTTCAGTGATGTCTAATATCTCTTTCAATCCAAGTGATGATAGAGAACATTAGAAAACAGTATCATTAATACTAAAACTTTTCATGAAATGTTTTGGACACCTGTATAATGCCTGTGATCCTTCCACAGTTATTCTTTAAAGCATTTACTAGACTTGAGAAGTAGTGTTATTATGTTCCTGAGCAATTTCATAATCTAGCTTTTATGAGGTTGGCTGATGCAAAACCATTGTATTTAGAAATGCAATGAATTGGTCTTTCCTAATTTCATATATATGTATACATGATTCTTTTTTCTTTCCTATTCATGTATATATACAGACACTTTTGGTACAATGAATATTGCTGACATCTGCATTACACTTAAATTGTCCTTAGCTGTCTGCATCTAGCTTTTTCCAGAAATCTTGCCTAAAATGGGTAGAGCAAGTTTCTGGCTCTGAAGCATTTGTTTTTAGCAGTGAAACTCTCTCCACATCATGAAGAACCATGTTTTTACCATAAAATCTTAAGATAATTCAGCTACAGACTTCAGAAGGTGCCGGGTATGAGGTGCTGCTCCCAGCAGGGTCAGCCATGGGGTCAGACCAGGCTGCTCAGGGAGGGAGGGAGCCTGCACAGCCCCCAGGCAGCCTGGGCCACTGCTTGCCTGCCCTCCCAGGGACAGGTTTCCTCATGGCTGGTCCCAGTCTCTCCTGTCTCTTGCCCTCCTGCCATATGCTGCTGAGAAGAGTTCAGCTCCCCGACAACCCCTCGTAGGCACTGTGGCTGCTGTTAGGTGCCCTCAAGCCCCCACCTAGTCCAAGCAGAACCAGCCCTGGTGCTCCTGCCTCTCTGCCCAGGATGAATGCCCTAGCCCTAACCATTTTGGTGGCCCTCTGCTTAACTCACTCTTATTTATTCATGTCTTTCTTGCACTTGTAGGCCCCAAACTGCACACAGTGTTCTATTTGTAGTCTAATACATTATGTATTTACCATCTCAGTAGCACTCTAGAGTAAAAATTATCTCTGTTACGAATGGTGTTGACAGGACTGTAATTGCTTACCTTTACCTATTAGGGCAGAAAAGTAGCTACCAAAACTGGCATAACTTAACTACATTTATTTTTAAATGCACATTGTTATCTATTTCAGAGAAACCAGAACACTTCTGAAAACCTAATCAAATGTTCAGTCTCTTCAGTCATTTTGGTGTAGGCTTCATATGGAGTTCAGCCTGTGATCTTAGAGCTTTAGGGTCTTCAGTAAGGTGCTAGAGATTACCTGAGAAAAGAGATCTTTTTGTGTGTGTGTGTGTGTGTAAAAACACGACTCTTTTTTTTTTATTATTTTTTTTATTTTAAAACAGAAGTGAATCATCTGTAAAGATCAAGACCTGCTCTTTTATGTTCTTTTGCTCTGTCCTAGAATTCCATTGCTTGTTCTGTGAAGTTCTCTGCTGAATAAGAGTGATGTAAGCAGGAACTTACTGAGATGTCATTTCTTGCCTTTTGGGTCAGAAACATACATGAATTATTCCCATGCTTGTAAAAAGAAAGTTCTAGAACTTACCAAAGTTTTCAAGAATGTTAAGAAGAAATTGAATTGAATTCCTTTTCTTCTCCAGGATGTAGGTTGGAATTTAGTCTTTCATGCACTTACCAATGCAGTTTCAGGTATCCTCCACAAATTAAAATGTATTCTTCAGCAGTGGAAATATTCTTTTGACTTCTAAAGTGAATAGTTTCTGAATTTGGGGGCTATTAGATCGAGGCTAAAGTTACAGCTGGTATTTCTTCCTTGACATCACCGGCTCTGCCAAAAAGAGCAAAATGAGAAATACTCCCCTAAAATCTGGAGGTGATGACTGTGGTTGCTGGTTTGGAGCCAGGTGCTTTTTTTAAAAGAAAACAGAATTCAAATATGTAATCTGCAGTAGCAAGTGAAGGTATTTGCACTGTTTTGCTGTATTTTTATTGAGAGATGGAAAAGAACCATTTCATAGTAAATACTCAGATTAGATAAGACTACCCAGAAAAGTTTTCAGTTGTGTAGGGAGAGACAAGTTATTTATTAGTCCTTTTAGAAGTCTCTATAATGCCCTTTCAGAAACTAAAAAGGAAAAAAAAAACCCTAAACTTCATAGGATGGGAGAAATACTTGCTTAGTAAATTCTTAAAGTATAACCAAAATTGCCAAATACTGTGTTACAAAGACCTTTGTAGTTTTTATGTTTTGGTGGCTATGCATATTGTAATAGCTAGTCTTTCTATATGCTGAGGACAATCCCATGTGGCTTAAACATTGTGGAGTAGTCAAGAAGGCTGGATAAACTTGTGCAGAAGCTTAAACACACCAGTGGTCTTGGTATGGAGTGTGATTGTGATAAAAGCTGGAAATCTGTCTACTTCTAAAACACGTCTTGTGCCATCTCCTCCCTAAGGAATTATCAAACCTAATGTGTTGATTGGCTTAAACTCTGATTCTATAACATCATTAGCAAGACCTTTTTAAAGTGGCAGTCTTTATGACCATCACCAGTAATAGTATTGTCTTCTAAACACGGTTACTGGTTATTGTTAACTTTTTGGTTAAGGAAAAAAAACCATGCTGTTTTTGTCTCTATTTTAATACTCTTTTTTTATAATAGTTCCTGTACTACCATCGTTGATATTTTCTTTTTCATGCCAACAACATCTTAAGTCAACTTTTTGCATCATCAACTTACGTTATCAAGCCTTCCATATGAGTAAAATCAAGAATTGCCTAAAAAATCAGTAATTTTTCAGTTGATTCTGTGGAATACATTGTATCTTTCATCAGGTATCTGTGAAATAATGCTTTGCAAATTTGTAACCAAATGCAAATTTAAGTTTTTTGGGTTTAGTATTTCAGGTAGCCCAAATAATATATTTACTAACTCCTATTTGTGTACAGCTGTAAACTGTTTCCTTATGCTATGAGTGAAAATAAGTTTTCAGTAAAAAGTAGTAAATATTGGTGACGTCTTTCAATCTATTTGGATTGTCAGTGTAGAGTAAATTGATGTTTGATTACCACATTTTTATCTTTTTTTCTGGTGCTAAAAAGCTTCTAAATTCACTTGAAAACAAGCCAGGAGAATTAATTCTTTGGCACCACTTTTATATTATGCTTTTTAGCTTGGTATGTTACAACGGACATATATATTCCAGAAGTAAGAGAGAGGCTCAGTAACGATTGTTAATCTTTCTCATAAGTATTTGATTCTTAAAGCTCTACTCAACAGTAATAAGCAGAGAGGAAGAGCTGTTTTCAGCCTCTCTAAGCATATTCATTGTAAGTTTGTACTGAAATATAGTAATGATTTATCAGGGAAGCAGCTCTTCAATTTTGTTTTTGAAGTATGGCACAAAAGCGGGAAGTGTGGTGTGGTTTTTGATACACTACTTGCAACTCATCTTTAGAATTTTTTTTAATTTAGAGATTTACTTCTATCCTTGATCCTCAGGGAAATTGTAAGAATATCTAAAATAGTAGCAGAATTATGCTTTGAAGTATCATATTGTACAACGTCTTTATTTCAGAAAAGTAGTAAAATGTTCCTTGTCTTCAGAATTATAATGGGATTAAACATTATGCATTATATATTAACTCTGGGTTTTTACTAGAAAGTATGTGGAATCATGTCTTTTCTTAAAAAAAAAAAAAAAAAAGTCTTTAGATAAAGTGCAAATACAGACTCTGAAGCAGAGATTCATGAACCAGGGCTTACATCCCCAAATCAGCGTTGCAAGGAAGAGGAGTATTTAGACGTGCCCATAATGTTCCCAGCTGGCTTATGTAGTCCTTCAGTTTGAGTCCTAGCTGTCAATCTCAGCAATCTATGCTGAAGACTCCCTGTTTATGGTACAGCTCAGGCATGGGTCAGCTTGGCTATGTTAACTCTACTTCTAAGCCTAGTCTTGGTACCCATGGTGGGTGAGCATCACTATGTCTCTCCTCTTTCATAGATGTAGCCCGAAGTAGTTTTTACACATCTGTTTCTGAGCAATTTGTTTAATCTTCTAGAACCTGCTCCTTAGAGGTATTACTACTGTTGATGCTAATTAGAACTCTTGTCCATAGTCCTTGGGTAGAAAACAGGTGCTGAAAGAAAGATGAATATGAAAGTTTCTTCTGGCGTTGATAAGCAAGGTGGTGTAGCTGATGAGTTTGTAACAGAACTATGAGCAAAGAAGATGCTGGAGAAATGAACATCAAGTTATGAGCTTTGTTCCCAAGTGGTTTTAAATAAATTGCTAACATTCATTAAGTGACGTACAGAATATATGTATTCATGTATTGAGGGATCTAGATACCATCTGTCCAAGTGCATGTAGGACATTTTGCATTTTTAAATTTTCTTTTGGTCTTTTTTAGGTCCATAATATACTGGCTGAAATGGTCATGGGTGGAATGGTTTTGGAGACCAACATGAATGAAATTGTCACTCAGATTGATGCTCAAAATAAACTGGAGAAATCTGAGGTAAGAGTGTCGCACTGTGTAGTTTCTAAACTAAAAACATAGTTGTAGCAAATGCATGCTATATAATGCTGTTTGTCCTTCAGTAGCAAACTATATACAGCTGCTTGCTTATAATGCTAAAAATTGACAATGTATCATTAGGTTAGGACCTTTCATCATAAGTAATAATTGCTTAGAGGTCGCTGCTGATTAGTTTTTGCTATTCGTATCTCATAGCATTGTGCGCCATTGCTATTGAGATACTTCCATAGTTCTCCAAGTTTCTCTTGCAGAAATCATTGTATTTCCAGTGTATTTATTATGCTGGACTAGTGACTATAACAGTTAAATGAAATTAGGTAAAGAACCAAAGTGTGTATACAGATTGCGTATTCCTGTCTACTAGTATGTTCCTAGCACCTGAAATATATGGGAGCATATTTAGTGTCCCAGTAATACTGTAACACAAAATAATAAATTGGACTGAAATGGACTAGATAGACTTTAAAGCCCAGTTTTAGACCCTTTAAAGTAAATATGAATTCTGCTATTTTGGTAAGCTGAACATTTGGTCTTCAGTTTAGTAGAATCAAGTGAGAAAATTGTATTCTGTATGTGCTTGTAACAGTCTGAGCAAGGGATACTCATGTAAGTTGTGGGAATCCCTCTTCAGTTCAACAGCTGTTGAATTTATATTTAGGAAAGAAAACTTAGACTAAGAAAAAAATTTAGTATTGCTTTAGCTATGACACAGAATAGTACTGCTCCTTTAACATGACCAGACATGCCTTGTAAACCAAAATACTACCAATATATCATAGCTAAGTCTGTGATTGATTCTTATTGATCAGAGTAATTCCACGGAAGAACACATCATCTGATTTTCGAAGCATAATGTACAAATTTCTAAACAAACCTTTGCTTGAATTGGAGACTATTTCTAAAGTTGAAGTCAGCTAAGTAGATTGAAATATTGCAGGTGGCATAAATGTGAACTAAATGACATTTTAGGACAAGACCCAGAGAACTTCCTAGTTTTAAGTGCAACAACGAGAGAAATGAAGTCTTCAGCTTTTTTGTGGTACAATGTATACTGTTCTCCTAATTCTGCAATCTCACACTGCACCACCTCAAGTCTTTTAGTACATCTAATTGTTTTCTACAACTTCCAAACTGTATCCCAGAAAAAGACAACACTGTGAAAAATAGGAAAAAGCTAGGTACGATATGATACAGTGCATAGTAATGTACAGCCAGAAGGATTGTATTGTAGATTATGAAGATGTCCAAAATGTTCATTTTAACATTTTTCTCAAACTCAGAACGGGCCATTGATCACAAAGATGAATATTTGGAATTATTCTCATAATTTTTTACTATATTTGAATAACTTCTGTATACATAAATTTTTCTTTATTTGATGAAAAAGTAACATAGAGTCCCAAAAGCTGAATTTACTGAGCAGCTATGTTCTACCATGTGTTATGTGCATTTCAGTTTTACCTAAAAGCATTTAATTAAGGTATTTATTCTTAATTATGTGAATTCTGTTACCAAATCAATTGTAGACCAGTCTCTGACTAGTCATCTGAAACACATTGATTCAGTGCAGCCAGCTGCAATACTTTGCTGTTTTCCATTATTCATCAGTAAGTCATTCTTTCTTTTAAGAAGCTTTTAGTATAAAAATAGGTAGTAGAAGATAAAAAAAAAACTTGTAGAGCTCAGAGCATATGCAAGGCAGATAACAGTTTGTTCCTTTACACTCAGCAATGAATTATAGAAAGTAAAGAAGTATCAGTGATAAATTAAAACACTTGGTCACTGGGATGGAGTAGAACATTTCACAGTCTGCTCACCACAAACGCATTTTTTTTGTTAGTTCAGTGACTGTTTCTTTTCAAATTTAACAGTTGCTATAATGCTGAGATACTTCACAGTACCTGGTAACTATTTCCTCAGATCATTAATCATTTGTTTCATGTATATCCACAGAAATTTCTTGATTGCTATTTCTTTTCCTTTTGTCTTTTTGATCAAGATTTAAATCTTGTCTTTCCTGAACATGTATTTTCAAGATATAAGCAAATCCAGTTCATGTAAATCAAAATCAGTAATAACTTCATAATATTTTTGAACGCTGGTCACTAAGAAATCAAAACTAGTGGATCTTCTTAATTTTCTTTAATTATTATTGATATAGCCTGTAGTTCATAGGACTGCCACCTATGCCACAGCATTCTCGCTTTAGTATGTTTGGCTTCTTAGACCTCCGTCATAGTTCTTGCATCCATAAAATAGCTGCTTTAAGGTTAAATTCCTTTTCTTTTATAGATGAAATCATGAAGTTAATAATATTGTAACTAAGCTACATTTTCAGAAATTGTTTAAATTTTCTATTGTGCCCACCTGGCTTCCCTTAATATATAAAATTTAGCCATTTGATATCGGGTATTTGTTTAGTCATGTATTAGGTTTCCAAACAGGCTTTCAGCTAGAATTTAGTGAAGAAGATCAAATGTATTTATTAAATTCACAAATATTTGAGCAAAGTTATCAACTCAAAGAATTTGTTAATGCTTTCAAGAGAGATTAATTATTTAAACCACTATGAGGGAGTCCCTAGCTTTGATTTCTGATTCAGCTCTTATATTGCTTGGATGGGCTACAAAGGAAATTCTATTTCTTATCCTGAGAAATGTTGTCTTAAATGCATTTCCCTACCTTTCAGTTTAGTGTTTATCTGTGAATGGATTTCTGGTCAAAGCCTCCTAAAGCCAAAGGATCACTGTGATTAAGGGAGGGAATTTTTGGGAGAGGGGTCATGGGGATTTTATCCAGAGCCTCTGGAAGTATTGTAGGTAAACCTGGGCTACCTCTTCTCTATTTGGAGTGTTCAACTGCGTGTGATTTAGACTTTTAAGTTGGACCTCATTTTTTCCGAACCTCCTGATCTGTTCTAGCTCTTTCCATTCTTCTCTCTTACAGACCTTTATCTTTCAGTCTCCCAGACAGGACAGGTAGACAAAGGTATTGCTGACTTTTAGAAAAAATGTACTTTTAACAAAAAGGGAAAGCAAAATGATGTCAAAGGCAATAAATTATGTAGGCCAGACTCAAAAATTATGTGTAAAAATACCCATACTAGTCCTTTTAGCCTACTTGTTGTGCTAGTTTCTTCTTGTAGTTCCCTCATCTTTTTATTGGCTATAGTGTATTTTACTAGCTTTCCATTGACATCATTTTTTTTTTATTTTATTTCTCTTCCTGCATTTTAGAATTAACTTTTCTTTGTATCATTGTTTAAGAAACAAAGGAATATGAACTTGTATGAATATTAACAAAAATGCAAAACTAATCTGAATAACAATTGAACACACAGATAACAAAATATGATGTGGTAACATAATAGAAATAGCTTCCTTACTGGGAGAATTTTGTACCTCATAATCTAAAATAGGTGACATGAACTCTTTTTCTTCACCTTTTAGTATTTCCAAATGAAAACAAAGATCTTTGACCTCTTTGCAAAAAGAAGTTTCATAATAAGTTTCAGGTGAACAAAACTTAAAAAAAAAAAAGCACTAAAACAAATCAACAAACTGAAATAGTTTTATACATACAAATTAAAATTATCAGTGCAATTTGTAAAGATGATGTAGAAATACCAAAGTTGATCTTTCAGCCTTAAGTATATCAAACATAAAATGAGAAGGGCTGCCAGCATGTACTCAACTTCAGATGTACATTTGCTGCCCTTGCAATCTGAATCACTGGATTTTGCTTTAAGATATCTTGGTAACTGCCGTCACTGAACATGAATATTAACAAGGAAATTAGAAAGGAGGAGGAAAATGTGTGTTTGAAGTTCAGCTTATGGTCATTGTTCCCTGTCATTTGCTGTTTGAAACATTTAGTTCAGCTCAACAGTTTGAATGTCAGTCAATGTTAATTGCAGTACTTCAAAATTCATTTCCACTCATTTGAAGTATCTGTGTATTCAAAATGGCAGGTATTTTAAATAGCTGGAATCTTAAGCATACAAAGTTTATGTAATTTATTAATAGCTTTGCTCTTTACTTTTTACATGATCTTTCTAGGATAAAGTAATGCAATACCTGTAAGATTTAACAAATTCCATAATTGGATTTAGTAGCACTGAGTTGTAAAGCATTAGCTAAAAATATTTTGGGGTAGCATGAAATATTTTACCTAAATTTGAAGTATGCTATAGCACATGAAGAAAATCAAGCAAATGGCCTTCCTCTGCCTAATATGTCAACACTTGTAAAATATAATCTGTATTTCAGTGTAACAGTAGGGAGCTTAATTTCAGGTTTGGTTTTTTTCATTTGTGCAAAACTACTTTTCTTTTTCTCTGTTCTGCTCACACATATTCTGTTTTTATTTTTGGGTCTGGCAATGAAAAACAAACAAATAATTAATCATTCCCATCCATTACTCTCTTTGTGATTCAAGTGCTTAAAATTTCTAAGAGTATGTCTTAAGTCTTCTTATCTGTTTGGCCTCATTTTGATATACTTGCAGACTTCATTTTGTTTTTTCTCTAATTATGTTCATTTATTTAACATCATAAGCAGGGGACATGATCATTCCTTTATATTACATATTGCATCCTTTCATGATTTCATAACCCTGCTGCTTTGAAGTCATACTTGTTCTGGCAAGAAGCATTGTTATGAAACACCAGCAGCAGAGAGGTCCTAGTACCTCCAAAATACCTGGAAAAGGGTGGCTTATTTTGCAAAGCGTTAGCCTTCATTATTTTGTTTTCCAGTAGGCTGTATATTTTTATATGTTTATTTTAGTGATAGCTAGCTCTGTGTAGACTTGTTTGGGATGGCGGTTCGAATCTTTTTTTTTTTTTAATTTGTATATGCATATTGACTACATTTGTGATGTGCAGTACTTTTTCCAAATAACTGAATTTCTTTTTAAAGAGTAAAACTGTTTCTAGGATCACTTTCATATAAAGTTATCGGTGGAGCATTATGAGAAAAGCGATTATAAGAACGAAGAAAATTGATTTCTATAGTGATAAATAATGACCTAAGTAAACTAACAGCAGCTGATATTTCTCACTTGATAGACTAGGACAAGTAGAATAAAAGCTCTGTTACTAGATGTGTCTATTCAATCTTTAGAATAGCACTATTGTTTTGCATATGTGGCATTGCTCTTTCACTCTAAAAGTATATGAACATGTTTACAAGCATTTTTTACAGTAACTGAATCTAAAATTTTAATACACAGTGTTTTCAACTTTAAAGTACTACCTTCAATAACAAATGAAATTTGTTGCAAAGCAGCTGTGGCAAAACTGTGGTGTATTGGCTTATTGTAATACCAGCTGTATGCAATTCGTACTGTATTTCTGAAATTTCATTAATATGTCTTAAGAAGTTTCATTTTCACTTGCTTAATTCATTTGCTCGCTGTGACAGACAATTCATCATTCACTGCATGCTCAAAGCTTGCTACATGTTTTGGTTTTTTTTTCAAGTGGAACAGTTCTTAATTTGCACCTCACCAACTTACCTGCCGAATTATTTGATTAAAAAAAGCAGTTGAAACTTGTCCAGTTCAATGTTACAGTCATGTCTCTTTTAATCAGGTACCTCTATAAAACTTAAAAGCACACTGGCCTGGAAGTACTTCTTGTAGTATCTTTGTGTTAGTAAATATAGTTTACTTTCTGTAAAAGAAATGATAAATAAATGGAAGGACCGCATACTAGTTCACCGTTCAACATGCTAAAAAGGAATGCTATGGCGTTTGCACATAACAGCATTTGAAATAACATGTTAGTTTGGGAGTTTAAGTACTTTTCAGTCATTTTATCCATTAGACATTTTTTATGAACTGCTTGCTCTCTCTTAGAAATACTGTATGTGACTGTATTGTGCTTGTTAGGGTTGACATTAATTGCGATAAATAACGTTCTGCTACGTATATTATGTATACATTGAATTACAAACCCACTTAATGTAGAGAATTACAGGAGAACAGAATGTAATAGTTGAAAATCTCTACTCCAGCATATGATAGTGAAAGACAATCTTGCTGGCAAACAAAGAGGTAATCTAAAGTTCACAGAACTTTTGTCAGGGATCTTCGTTGATCCTGATCCAGAGTGGTCCTCATGAAATGTGGCTGTCGGAAGTTGTGACTGCATAGGGGGGTGGAAGGGCAATGGTCATGTCAATTGTGGTATTTTAAATAATTCTCAATTGTGTCTCCATTGTATCCTATGCCATTGGGGCGGGAGGCAGGGACTGTAAGTCTGTGTAAAGAGGATAGCTGCAGGTAGGTAAAAATAATGACCAGTTATACTAAAACTTTTATTTGTCCATTAAGAATAATTAACTTTCATTAAATTAGGGTAAGGAATCTCCATTCTAGTCACCTAGAAGGCATCTCTCTTTTGAATTGCCAGCCATGCCTGTTTGTGTGGACCATGTCCATCACTTACGATATTTTTCTGGTTTCCCATTGTTTCAGTTACAAATTGTATAATTCATTGCTTTTGTTACTACTTTATTAGTATTTTCATCTTCTCTGTGGAAAACAGTTTACATTGCCCCACTTCTGGTTTTGCTTAAAGAAATTTTCTCCAGTTACTGAATGTAGAATTTAAAGGATAAACCAAATAAAAGGAAAAGTATTTATTGTTTTATCTGCTAAAATGTCATTGGTAGTTACCTCGTGATTTCAAATCAGTATTTCCAAGTTCTCAAATATGAAAGGACAGTGTTGAGCAGCTTCATATCTTCTGCACTGTTTTTTAATAAATAGCAAGGAACTGCAGTGTCTAATACTGCTCCTTTAAGATATTGCAGGTTCAGGGATGCAGATTTTGGATACTTGCATTTTTTAATACTACCAGTGTTAGGTCCAGATTTTCCCCGTCATGAAGGTGTTGCAGTTGAAACAGCCTCTGAAGTGAATGACCTGATAGACTTGGTGATGTTAAGGGAAACCAAGGAAAAAGAGGCTTTGAAAATACTTTTTCTTGCACCTTTTTAGTTTTACTTAGTCTGTACTTCTGAGAACCAATAATTAGAATGTCAGGGCCAAAGTGAGAGCATTAGAGATTTAAGATGTCCTGAGCTTTCTCCTCTACCCCCACATGCCTTCCCCAACTTTGGCATGTCTCTTATATATGTGTTTGGCAGGGGGGATGTTACAACAGATGACTTATGGCTTCCTGGTCTCTGTTCCTGGTATTGGGAATCCTGTGACTAAAATCTAGGGATTTATGATGCTTTAGCCTTTCCACATGATACAAAAGGCTTAGTTCAAAATTGAAAACTGTAATCAGTTTTATTTTGACTGTGGGTTATGCTTTTGAAGGAGGGAGGAGAACAGTAGGTAGGATTTTCAGTGGAAATCTTATGTTAATTCGACCTTACATTTATTTCTTATAAGAGAGCAGTCGAAGGGAGAAAATTTTTTTTTTTTGACAGCCTTCAAAAAGTAGAGTTGTTACCTGAGGAGTATATGGGGTGTCTGTCTCCTTTTGAGCAGTAGTGGAGGTAGAAACCATGGAAGTCAGGTGTACTCTTTAATACTTGCAATGAATTTCAGTGAAAATCAAGGATCTGAAAAGGTTACGCTTTGAGCAGCAGTCACCTACCAGCACTTTAGTAATCAAATATGACACAAACTTTTCCCGAAGTCTTTTCTTCTTTTATTTTGCTGTATTTCTTGCTCAGAATTTTTATCTGCAAATGCACTGGTTTCTTCAGTCTCTGACACTCTTATAATGAAAGGCTTTCCATTTCTACGGGTTTAGTCTTTTGTTTAAACAGTTCTTATAGCATGTTGCTTTGTTTCTTGTGGATTCCTCCTTTTTACTGGGCCTGCAAGATGCCACACTCTAAAACTGTAGTAGTTCTGAAAATGACTTTGTGGGTTTTATTATTTTTGAATGTTTTTAATCCTACTTTTAAAACATCAAAATAAAAAGTTACATTTTACATATTCACAGAATTTGGAATATGATGTATTTTTCTGCAAATAAGAGCTCTGTTTTTAAAATCTTCCAGGCTTTTTTTTTCCCCCAGCAAGCAAAAAGTAATTTTTACACCTTTGTGGCAAGCCTGAAGTAAAACCACACAGCTAATTCTAAATACACATAGAGAATCGGAACTTTAAGGAGAAACATTTCCATACTTAAAGTGAATAGTAACTTTTCTACATAGAATCAAATACAGTAACAACTTAATTATTGGCCTTTTTTAAATAGTCCTTAAAATAACAAGGTTTTGAAGAGGTCTTCTTCAGAAGCAATAGGTAACGATCATGTTCTGTACATCTTCAGACCTCTGAGCTGTAAATAATTTTTCTTAGCATTTCAGTAATATACTCTAGTGTGTAAACGTGACAGTTATTTTATCTAAAAGGCAGAACTGAATGGAAGTCAGTAATGAACTTACTTCTGTATTGTAAAACTTGCATATTTATACAGAAAGGCCCTGGCTTTAAATGAAGAGAGACTACATAGAGTAGAGGACTTTAAAGCAAAATAGGTACTTCAGTGTTTAATTTGGCATAACCAGGTTCGAGTGTGCCTGGCAGCTGCAGATCTGTTAGCATATAATTAGGTACCGTGGGACTCTTTATCACCCACAAATACAAGGTGCTTATCCTTTTCATTTTAGCCTAAGCCACCTTGAGATACCTTATATATATATATATATGTTTTCATTTAGATAAGCAATGTGGTTCAACTGATGTTCAGTAGCTTGTTCCTTTGAGGTTATCTATTCTGAGCCTGTAACCAGTGTTAGTCAACTGTGAACCATGTGAACTTTTAGAATAGGTAAGAGACAAAGACAGCACATTGGACTTCAAATACCTCAAGATTGTCTGTTCTATAACCTACACATGACACACGCTTGGATAAGCCTCCTGTTCCTCCCCACATACTTTTCCATCAAGTTGACATTACATTTTTATCATATAAAAAGGAATGTGTGAACTGTTTTCTCTTTCTGGTTTAATACTTACAAATAACCCATTTCATTCCAAACACAATTGCCATCTGGTCTTTCTAATTGTGTAACTGTGAAAATACTTGAAAAGTTAGTTGTCTGTGTATATTGCTAGTGAATCCTCTTGTGACCAACTTTGCCTGACTTGCATTTTTCCTCACTTTATACACAGGCTGGTTTAGCAGGAGCTCCAGCCCGGGCTGTTTCAGCTGTAAAGAATATGAACCTGCCAGAGATCCCAAGAAATATTAATATTGGTGACATCAGTATAAAAGTGCCCTCTTTTAAATAACATGGCTACTCCAGGTAAAGCGAAGGGAAATGTAATAGAGATTTACTGCATAATTGTTTACTAAATAAACACAATGTCTAACTTTTACTGTTTGGATAAAACTCAAGGTACTGTATAGACATAATTTGAAAAATCAGTGTGTCGAGTTGAATGTTGCTTTTGTCTTTTTTGTGAAATTAAAGGAAATGGGTAGTTCCCGTGTGATTTCAAAATTACATTCCTATGCCCTTGTAAGGCATATCACTGTGTCTCGGCTGCTGCAGTATTTTGGGGAAGTATTTCAGATGTTCTTTATTTCGTATAACCTATAATGCTGAGTTCTTTTGTATATTCACTAAGGTCTATAATTAGTGCATTCCTTAAGTACTTCTGCTGTTTGTCATGATTATTTAAGACTTCAGTGCAAATGTTGCATGAAAACATTAAGCTCTTGTTTTGTTTAAATAAAATCATAACCAACTGGACTTCGAAATACCTGTTTGTTTGAAATCTACTCTTTGCAATAAATCATGTTACTTCCTATTCATGAAGCCAATTGACTATATATAAATACTGTTGTAGCAACCATTAATGTAGTTTAATCTCTGAAGGAATTATATGGGGGTATTGTGTTGAACATTGGTTCTTTACATTTCTCACAAAAGCTGTTCACTATTATTCTGAAGGAAAAACTGCCTTTACTGAAGATCTGATGACTTCTGTTTACATATAGATGTTGCGAAGATACTTACACAATCTGATAGGCTTTCCCTGATGATCTGACTTTGTTTTGGTTAAAAGGGTCTCTGCAGTTGCTGTGTGTGTTCTGAGAAGTACAGAATGGGCTGAGGAAATTGGGCAGCTCAGAACTGAAAATGTGAGTGTATCAAATAATGTGATAAAGAAAGGCACTCTGGAAAGATAAACGAGGATACGTTAATAGGGCCTCTGTGCCTGGTGATATTTGTGATTCTCTACTTCAAGAATTAGGTTTATGAAATACTTAGCATTGTCAAGACCTCAGAACATCTAAGTGCTATCACCTCTGTGTAAGTTGCTCAGCTGTTAAACTCTTCTGTGATTTAGAAAAAAGGTAAGGGAGGTAATGATTGGGTTTTATAATCATTCTCTTAAGTTCTGTGTGATGTACAAGTCTGTTTAAATCAATAATAAAAATATCATTGGGATATTTAAGAATTCCTCTAAAGTTTTCTTCTCCAAAAATGCATGCAGTTAATACTATATATAAAAATACAGTAATACTGTATTAAGGGCAACACGTTTCAGGACTAGTCTGAGAGGCCCTGTGTTACTTCAGATATTTGGATTTGATGTCAACCAAGCATTCTTTTCCTTTGAATTGAATGTTAAGACATACCCCATTGGATAAACTTGGAATGGCTTCACATTCTCCATTTGATCCATAGTAACTATCACTGGTGCCTTTTGAGAGTATTTGAGAGTGAAAAAGAGAAAGAGATTACTTTTGAAGTAGAAAATCTGATACAATCCAAGGAATTGTAATGTATTTCTTTAAAGGGGGAGGGAGGAAATTTCATGTATATTGTTTGTGTTACATTTAATAAGCATCAAGTAACACTACTTGATAAATGCTTTTGAAAACAGAATTGCCTTCTCCATACCTCTTGAGAAGAATATTTATTCTTCCCAACTAATTTTCTTAGTTTGAGGCTTCAGGAAATTTCAGGTGGGGTTTAAGTAGAAAACTGCCACTTCCTCATTTCCACTGAAGAAATTGAGAGAATGAAACGTGCAGCATTATTTTTCCCTATGATGTAGAGTATTCTTTAGTATTCCCAAGTTAGACAGCTTGGCCTAGTACAAATCTGGAACTATTATAATTTCACCTGCTTTTCCCAACTTTTGTTTTTCTCCTTAATGCATAGAACGTGTTGCATTCAAAGCAAAGATGTTGAAAATTTTCTGTGTCATTCCCCCATGAGGATTTAGTTAGTGCTGCTTCCAAAGGATAAATAGGAAATTTTAAAATAAAACTTTGAAATAGAAAACTCTGACCTACAGAATGTTCTCCTGGCTATTTGTGAAAGGAGCTCACAATTTCAGAAATTCTTCAGAGTCCTCTGTTTTTTGTCTCACTTTTTTCCCCCTCTGGTTCATTTTCAGATTTGTAAGCTTATGTAGTTAGAACATTTTTCATTCTTTGCAGAGAAGTCTTTTCTGGGTTTATTTGAATCAAACATTTTTCCAAATCCTTAGAGAAAATACATCTGAGATGCATCTTGACATGAAGCATATTTCAGATTAATTTCTCCCCTCTTACTTGCCAATAGCCAGGCTTTCATTCATTTTAGTGAACTAGACCTTAGCTCTTAAAAATTTACATGGCTATTTTAAAGCTCTTTTTTTTAGATTTGTGTTTTGCATTACTGTTTATAGTACTTTCTCCTGCCTGACAACATGGCTTCTGCCGGAAAGGATTCTTTTCCAGACAGCTCTTCCATAGACACCAGACCTTTCAAGAAGCTGCTCTGTGACTGACCAGCAAATACTTAATGCAAGGCTGTGACTAACAGCTGGAGCTGCCATACACTCTGACCAGGTCACTTGGCACTGCCAGGCCTTAAACTAAAACCAGTCAGAGAAAGATGGGATACTTGATTGTTAAAAATGGTGGAAATGGTATTCTTACCCTTGACCTTGAAGGGCTTGCCTTGTGTTGCAGATGTTCAGATGTTTTCCGCGATGCTCATGTGCTTGTATGCATCACCTTCATGAAAATGATCATAGAATCATAGAATCATAGAATGTTTAGGGTTGGAAGGGACCACTAGTGGTCATCTAGTCCAACCCCCCTGCAGTGAGCAGGGACACTGCTAACTAGATCAGGTTGCTCAGAGCCCCATCCAACCTGGCCTTGAATGTTTCCAGGGATGGGGCCTCCACTACCTCTCTGGGCAACCTGTTCCAGTGTTTTACCACTCTTATTGTATTGATGTGCCTTTTGGATTCTTTCTCCTATTTCACCAGCGTCCTCTTAACTACTGCTTATTATTTAAAATTTAAATAAGCTGTGGGCTGTAAATGATTAAGCTCTTGATTATAAATTTAAATGTTTTTAATGCTTTGTAACCAAAAAACCCTCAACCTAAACCTTTACATGTATGTGTGTGTGCGTGTGTATAACATCAGTCTTGCACTAGCTGTTGTTAAAAAGAAGAGAGGTCATCTTGAGTCATCCTTTACCTGTAGAAGCCAGGGAACTAATTTGCAATACTTCACCTCCATAGAGCCTGCCTTTTAAGTGACATTCGTCAGGGTGCTGGCATGTGCAAATGAATTGCTGAAAGCCATTTTTCCTAACTCTGGGCGTTTCTTAAACCTGCGAAAAAAAACATTAAACAGCAGCTGAGGCTATTTGGTACTTAAGGCATCCAAGACACCACCTTGTGTCTTGGTTTCTTACATTGGGTTTTTTTTCCTATTCAGTTCAGTTTCTCTGCTAGTGAAATTCTCTGGGGAGAAACCTTTTCATGTGATCATAGCAATTTAACTGTAGTAAGATCTGCACTTCTTTTTGATAGTGCTTGATAAATCATGCACAGAGGTAATTTTAAGGAGACTGTGTAACATTAATAATACAAATTAGTAATTAAGCCACCTGTTTTTCTGTTGTCAGAAGCTCCCTGTATCACAGGTGGTTACTTGTCTCAATATTCCACAAGAGAAGTATTTTCCACGTTTGTTTGTATTCTGGGGATGCAGGGTGAAGTGCCCTCAGAAGGTGAGATTGTAGGCTTGGGTGTAGTGGCTGTTCAGATTGCTTGTCTCCAAACCGTGACTCTCTCGTTGTGCATTAACACCTTTCAAATTCAGAGATTTTCACTGTGAAATTTAGTAATGGGGAGAAGATTAAGTGTGATCAGCCCGTGAGAGCAACTGCTAGTTCTGGCAAGTAGGGGTTTTTTGTCTTTGAGAAGAAAAATTCTTTTCTGGGGTACAGACACCCTCTCCAGTATTGAGAGAAAAGGTGTTGGAAGTATTTTCCATTCAGAAGCCAAAGACTTTCTCTGAAGGCCCACGTGGAGCAGACATGATTTTCTTCCTTCTTGCAAGATAGATTCTTCTAAACAAATGGAGAAAGGGCAGACAGGATGAAAGTTCCAGAGAGTGAGTGGGCATTCCCAGCTGCCTCCATAGACTTGGAAGCAGAGCAGCTAGTTTTCCCACTGTGGCAGGGGAACTGCTGAAAAAATCTTCTGACTCTTTTTCACTGGAAGAGAAGTATCTCATGTTAGAATTGGCTGAGAATGCTGTCTGCAGCACTGACAGCACAGACAGTGCAGGTGCTGTCAGTGCACTCCCCTCTCCTCCCTAAATAGTGAAGTGCTGTTTTGAATATATTTTGAGAGGAGGGAATATTTTGCCACATTGCAAGTGTATACAAAATTCCACCCCTTAAACAGATGTTGCTGCTCTGATTTATTCTGCTTGACAGGAATGGGTGGAGGGAAGTGTCACTTGCTGCAAGGGAGAGACAGGCTCAAGCTAGAAACTCAAACTGGCGCTGCCTTCTTCTGAGCACATTTGACCTTTCCTTTCTAGTAGCACATTCCAATCAATCAATGCTAAAATTAGTCCTGAGTTTTACTTAGGTGTATGCTGACAGCCGAATGGGAACTTGCTAATCTTCTAAGGCTTACCTTGTAAAGCTCCTTGGTACTGAATTACAGCATATACGGGGCATAAAACACTGAAGGAACTGGAAATCAAAATGTCACAAATCAAATAATTGTCTGTTTATAACTGTTAAAAGAAAAACAGAGCCTGTCTTGCACAAAATGTATTTCTCAACTTCTGCATAGAGCAATCATAATTTTAGTAGGAGCAAGCAAAGCAGCCTAGTACTGCCAAAACTGACTAAAGGTGAACAGTTAATTTCATTAAAAAAAAATCTTTTGTTATTTACTTTTATGATTATCATAACAAATTGTAAATCTCTTTTCCTCTCTTAATTTAAGGAAATGGTCTGTCCTTGCAATTTTTGATTTTCAATGTTTACCCCAAAATGCCTGATGAGCTTAGGTAACAACATTACCTCCATTCCATGGGTGGAAACGCAAAGGTAGTCACACTACAGCATCAGCTTAGCAGCCAGATTTCTTGTCTGCAGAAGTTTTGGCCCAGTGGTGCACTAGGAGTGCTGTGACAGTGTGGTCTGACTGGGGAAGAACTGGAGGTCAAGACATCCCCTCTTTGCACAGACTGAGTATGCCTGTGGCTGGAGGCCTAGAGGCGTTTGAGTTGACCTGTCATCCAACCCATGAGACTCAGTGACAGGCACACTTGTGCCATATTTGACTGCTTTCCTACCCGCTTTGGCTCTTTGGAAACTCAGCAGCACACACATGCTCCAAGTGTCCCTTTCTGGGCTGGTTCCACTGCCCAGCCAGCCAGCGGGACTGCACCAGGAGAGGAGCAAATCCTTCTCCGAATTCTCTCTGAACAGGACTATAAACTTGCCACCAGAGCTGGAGCTGAAAGCAAGCCTGTAATGATGAGCTGCTTGGATGGACGAGTGTATGGTTTCCCTGTTTTCTTTTGGTTTTCACAAGTCCACTCTGCAGACCCCATTCTGGTACGATTTTCAGCACTCGGCCAGCAGAGTTGCTGTGGGACACAAGTTGAATTTCACGGCTTCAGATATTTGCAGGGTACCTGCATGACCCATGCATATGGCAGCATACCCCCATGATCTATGTTTGCATCTAAGAAACTTTTGCCTTTGGTGTAGCCATGGTGAGTGGCACCAACAT